GGGGAAATCCAAGTGGTGAAACTTCTAATTAATTGTTATTGTGTGTGTTTGTGTGTGTGTGTGTGTGTATGTGTGTTCATGCCATGGCACTCTTTGAAGGTCAGAGGACAACTCTTGGCAGCCGGTTGTTTCCACTCCCCGTGGATTTTTCAATCTTTTACCTACTAAGTCATCTCGACAGCCTGAGGTAAGCCTTTCAAATGGCCTTTGCAGGCAACAAAGCATGATGCTATTGGTCTTTATTCTTGGTCTTGGTCCTTGGCAGTAGTGTAACGAAATGAGCTCCACTTGGAAGTCATGCAAAAGAGATGGTACCAAGGGTCAAACCAACGGAGTCAAGAGGCAGGAGGATTGTGGCAAGTTCAAGGACAGCCAGGGCTACAAAGTGAGATTGTCTCAAAAAAACAGCCAATGCACACCCCAAACCAGCTAGGTGTGGTGGTCGTTCCTACCTGCCAACTCAGTGCCTGAGAGATAGTGGAGGCAGGAGAACCAGCAGATTGAAAACAAATACAGGCTCATGGACTCATGGACTGATAGCGTACCTCGATTATAGAAGGGGTGGGAGGAGGGGTAGGGAGAAGGAGGAAGAAATTTCTAGGACCGGGGGCGTGGCTCAGGCTGAGCTTTTGCTGAAGCTGTGTAAACCAGGTCTGAGCGGCACTGAGTAGGCATGTAAAGAATAAAATAATTAAATTGCAGCTTAGAACCGTCAAGCTCCTAGACACGGCTCTGGAGCTCTCTGAGGACAAGCAGCAACCATGTTTCTGGAAGTGAGGCCTGCAGACCACTGCCATCCAAATGTGTGCCTTCCAGTTCGTCTGGTCTCTTAGTTCTTCACCAGCATGATTTTCCAACCGGTCAAGAAGGGTCTTTCCATCTAAGGGGGCCAAATGAACTTAGGTTGTTTTTTTTTTTTAATTTTATTTTACTTATTTTAATTTTTAGTTAAAATTTAATTGTGTGTGTGCATATGGGTATAGGTATGTGTGCATTATCGGGAGGGGGAGAGGAGGTGAGCACGCCACAGCATCGGTGTGGAGATCCCAGGACAACTCCGGAGAGCCCAGCTTTCTCCGTTCCTTTTCAGGTTCAGGGACTGAACTCAGGCTGCTGGCTACGAGCAGTGAGTACAAGTCCCTTGGCTTCCTGGACTAGGGCTGGAGAGACGGCCCTACCATTAAGAGCACTTGCTGCTCTTCCAGAGGATCCAGGTCCCAGAACCCACATGGCAGCTCACACCCCGCTGGGCTCAGTGGCACACACCACACACCTTTAACCCCAGTACTCCAGAAGGCCAACCTGGTCTTCAGCCAGGGCTACACAGTGAGACCCAGTGAAAGAAAAGGAGATGGGGGTGGAGGGAGAGAAATATGGGGTCCTGACAGCAGCGAGTGGCTCTCAGCTTGTGGTCCCTTTGGGGTTCGAACAACCCTTTCACAGGGATTTCCTAAGGCCACTGGAAAACACAGATATTTACATTAAGATTCACAACGGTATCAAAAATGCGATTATGAAGTAGCAACGAAAATAATTTTATGGTTGAGGGTCACCACAGCATAAGGAATGTTAGGAACGGCTGCCCTAGAGTCTCAAGAACAGAGACCTGCCAAGCAGGACATTACTGTGACCACAGCTCTCTTCTTTAGTACATGAGACTAGAAGATACATTTCTTCTTCCTATGTGAAGGGCGAAGTGAAGTAGGCTGGACATCCCTGACTTGGGGTACTAGCACAGCAACACCCAAGGGCAGATATCTGAGGATGGCAACATGTGCTCAATCCTGGGGCCGAGGAGGAGCACTTGTGCAGCGCTGCGGGAGTAAAGCCAGCACGAAGGAAGTCCTCTGTGGCCGCACTCCCCTGGGCCTCCCCTCCTCTCCCTTCCTGCCCTCTACAGGCTTACTGGGAGACAAACTGGGTCTCTAATGATCCTTGAGAATCTGGCCCCAGGGCCATGCTGCAGCAGAACACAGAGAAGCCTGCAAAGCTCCTGCTGAGAAGGAGATAGGGACCTCAAGAGAGAGGAAGAAGCCAGGACCGTACACCCGCCCCACAAGAGCAAAGAACCCAGCCTCAGGCCATCAGCAGCTGGCAGTCACCCGGAAGCATCCCCAGGCGGTCTCCCAGTAGAAACCACATTTTCTGAGCTGACTTTCTCTGTTCCCTCCAAAGTATAAGTTGTCCCTTAATTTTTTTTTAAAGCAACTGGAGACAGAGTTTATTTTCATTTAATTTTTCTATCCTTTTTTTTAAAAAAAAATCTATTTATTTATTATGTATACAGTATTCTGCGTATTCTGCTGCATGTATCCCTGCAGGCCAGAAGAGGGCACCAGATCTCATTACAAATGGTTGTGAGCCACCATGTGGCTACTGGGAACCGAACTCAGGACCTTTGGAGATCAGAAAGAGCACATCAAATCTCCTGGAACTGGATTGTGTATGGTTGTGAGCCACCACACGGATACTGGGAGTCAAACCAGGGTCCTCTGCAGAAGCAACAAACTGTGTCCCAAACTGTTAGGCCAACTCTCCAGTCCCTCATATCATAACAATACGTTTTAAAATTTAATTTAATTTTTTGGACAGGGTCTCACATGGCCAAGGCTGGCTTCAAACTTAGCTGAGGACGACCTTGAACTTCTAATCCTCCTGCCTCCACACTCATAGACATGTGCTGCCATGTTCAGTATTAATACGGTACTGGGATCAAACCCAGGGATTCATGTAGTGATATTTTATTTGTATTTTAATAAATAAAGCTTGCCCAAAGATCAGAATGCAAAGCTAAGCCACTAGAGGCCAGGGAGTGGTGGCCCACACCTTTAATTCCAGTGTTTGGGAGTCTCACACCTTTTATCCCAGGACTAGGGAGATGGAGACAGGAGCTAGGAGCGATAGGGCTGGGCAGAGAGGAATGCAAAAGGGAAGAGACAGGAACTCTCCCTTTAGGTCTGGAGATTTGGTAGAGGTAAAAGATCTCTTTGGTGATTGGCTGTTTTATTTTTCTGATCTTCAGCTTGAATCTCAATATCTGGATTTTTATTATTCGTGCTACAGATTCATGCACACCAGGCAAGTACTCTACCAACCAAGCCACATTCCCAGACCACAGGGCTTCCTTATAACATTTATCTCACGGCCCAGATTCCTCAGTTAGCTCTCCTAGGAGCTTTCTGTCCAGGGGCCTCTCCTCTGCATCCAGATGGCTGTAGTGTCACCTAGGACACAGGCTGGACCGTATCCACCTTTGTGTGACGTGCACCGCCTCCCCAGGGGGGCTGCTCAGAGGTCAGTACTGGAGCCCACCCCGAAGGCCTGCAGCCTGGCCTGCGGACACTGGCCGCTAAAATTATGCAAGTTTAATTATCTGGCCAGCACTGCCCATTTGGGCTCCATTTTGCTGTTCGCAAGTACCCAGGAGGGTACAGGCACTCACAGCAGCCATGTTCCAATGAGGAATTGGTCAGAGAGGGTACGTGACCGTACGAGGTCACATAGCTTCAAACTGAGGATTTCTTTCTCCTGACAACCTGTGACTGCCATGGCACCCTTGCTCGGCAGCAGCTGGCAGAGACTGGGTTACGCACCTCGCGGTCACAGCACTCTAGAAGGCACCCTGCCTGCCCTTCTCAGTGGCAAGTACAAGCTCATAAAGGTGGTGAATTGTGAAGCTGGCTTTTGAACCCGGGTCTTCTGGATTCCAAAGACAGTATTTTTCTCTCTGCAATGAAGCCGGATCCAGGCATGGGCTGAATGATTCCCTTCCAGTCCCCATCCCGCAAGTTATTTCCTTATACCCTCTGACCCAGACTTTCCCTCTCTCAGTGTGGTGCCTTCCTTTTGATTTTAGACCGACAAATTGGAGTCAAGGGGTCACTGCCTCTTTATTTGTTACAGGTGGTGGCTCTGGGTCCTCAGCAACTAACTAGAGTGGAGAAATTTGTTCTGCGGATTACAGGCTGAGGCGCCTCAGGGGGGCAGGGGTGTGCCTACAGTCACAGGGGGCCAGCTGCCCCTTGCACACCTTCACCCCCACAAGGTGCTCTCAGGTGAGAGCGTGGGGTAGAAGTACCCGGGAAATCTGCCAGTGCTGCAAGCAGCAAACCGGAAATTCTTCTGAACTCTCATTTCATCCTTTCATTGTCAAGTGAATTTTTCATTACAGGCCATAAAATATCCATGTGTGCTTTATTATTAAAATGTCCTAAATGACTTGCCAGCTAGTCCCCTAACTCCTGCTCTTCCCTCTACAGCAAGCAAATTGGACTTGGTACCCATTAGCTCCCGCCTGGTTCCCAGGCCTCTGGCCTCCCTGGACCTACTTTTCCTACCTAGCTGTGCAAAAGTCGCTGCTCCCTGCCTTGCCTGCCCCCGCCCCATCCTCCTGTTCTGAGTTTACCGTTCTCTGCTGGAAGGGCTAAGAGAAAGGAACCAGCTGGCCTTCTGCTGGGAAATAATTATCTACCGAAGTTAGGCATGAGGGAGGCCGGCTCTTCCAGCCCACAGCTTCGCCACACCCCCAGCTCTCTCCATCTTGAGTAGACCTGGAGCTCCCCAAGACCTCAGCAGCATGGCTCCCTGAAGGAGGAGCTTGTGAGCGTCAGGAGGACCTGCACCCCTCCGGCAGAAGCGCAGGATCTCTTCCTTTCTCTGGAATCGGGCTCTGACCTCGAGTCCTTTCCCCAAAGTTCCCTCCCTGGGAGCAGAGTACCACAGCTAGGGTGCAGCTCTGTGGCAGGGGCCTGCAGGGGCCCTTCTGGAGGGAAGCCAGGGGTCAGAGCCTGGCTGAAATCTCAGCTCCCATACCCACCAGCCAAGTTCCCTGGCCTCTAGTTCAAAACTGGAGGAAAACAGGGAAAGACATGGTGTTCGGGAGGCTCAAAGAATGGAGAATCTAGCAAAGCCCCGCAGCTGGCCTTAATATCCCATGGCCTTAGCCACACATCGCCGCTGTCCACAGCACAGGCGTGGGTCGCCTGAAAGAGGACACTCACCGGTGGGTGCTTGCGCTTCCGGCCAGGCCTCCCCACCTTCCGGGCCGTGGTACTGGGTTCCTGGCGCTCTTCCTTGCCACGATTCTCCTCCTGTTCCTCTCCTTCCTGTGGGCACAGACACACCCGGTAAGGCAGAGCTGACCTAAGAGGCACTGTGTTCCAGGCTAGCTGGACTGGCATTGGCCTCCTCCTGTCCTAATTCCACAACAGTCACACATCCAGGACTGTGCCATGCTGTCCCCACCCTTCCTGGAAGGTAAAGCTGAGCTCCATCCAAATACATCCGGTCTTCATCCAAATACAGCTTCTGGGGCAGATGATGTGCCTAGCAAGCACAAGGCCCTAGGCTCAGCCCCAAGCTTTGACCAAATAAAAAAGCTGACTAAGACCTAGAGGGCCTCCAGGAACACACTCCGTGTGTGTGTGTGTGTGTGTGTGTGTGTGTTGATTTTTTGTTTTCTTTTGTTTAAGATAGGGTCTCAGCTGGGCAGTGGTTTGGGCAGTGGTGGCCCATGCCTTTAATCCCAGCATTTGGGAGGCAGAGACAGGCAGATCTCAGTGAGTTCAAGGCCAGCCTAGTCTATAAAAAAAAGTTCCAGGACATCCAGGAATGTTACACAGAACAGAGAAACCCTGTCTCAAAAAACAAAACGAAACAAACCCAAAAGACAGGGTGTCACTATATAACCCTACATGACCTTGAATTTGCTACGTAGATGAAGCTTCAAAAGAAACCATCTGCTCCTGCCTCTTGGATGTCAGGATTAAAGGTGTCTGCCCCATGCTCAGCTCCCTTTTTGATTTTTTTTTTTCTTCAAAGGGTTTCTCTGTGTGGTCCTGGCTGGCCTGAACTGTAGACCAGACTGACCCCAAACTCAGAGATCCATTCCCTCTGCCTCCCGAGGACTGGGATTAAAAGTGTGTGTCACCACCACTCTGCTTCTCTTTTGATTTTTAAGACAGGATCTCATTTAGCTCAGATTAGGCTCAAACTCCCTACGTAGCCAAGGACGACTCTGAACTACTACTTCCATCTCTGGGTGCTGGGCATGAGCCATCATACTTGACTTCAACCATACTCGTTTTCTTTCTTCACGTGTAGGTGGATGCGTGTGTGCGTGCACGTGTGTGGAGACCTCAGGTGTTTTCTTCAATTGCTCTTCATCTTTTTTTTTTTTTTCCTAAGACAGGGTTTCTCAGTATAGACTTGACTATTCTGGAGCTCACTCTTTAGACCGGGCTGGTCTCAAACTCACAGAGATCCACCTGCCTCTGCCTTTGATGCTGGGATTAAAGGTGTGCGTCACCACCGCCTGGTTTGCTCTCTACCTTTTAGAAAAATAATAAGAGTCATTACATATAGGGTCAGGTGGTGGTGACTAACACCTTCAATTCCTAGCACTCGGGAGACAGAGGCAGGTGGATCTCTGTGAGTTTGAGGTCAGCCTGGTCTACAGAGTGAGTTCCAGGACAGCCAGGGCTACACAGAAAAACCCTGTCTCGAAAAACCAAAACAAAAAGTTACTACACATATTATTTGTGTGTATGTGTCTGTACACACATGTACCACAGTGTACATGAGAAAGTCAGAGGTCTTTCAGATGATTCTCTCCACCATGCCGATTGTTGAACTCGGGTGGTCAGGCTTCGGGTCACATGATTTTATCCACTGAACCAGATCACCAGTCCTAAACCTTACCTTCTGAGACCGGGTCTTCTGAACTCAATGACACAGCTAAAATGGCTGTCAAGCACTTCCTGACTATGTCTCCCCAACACTGGTGAGCTGTGATTGTCTCACACTCCTCACCCAGCATTTATGTGGGTGCTGGGAAATCTGACCTCAGGTCCTCGTGTTGCATAGCAAGAACTTCACCCACTGAGCCATCTCCCTAGCCCCCATATTTTCCTAATCACTAGACCATACCACAAGGCTCTGGTAATGGATTTATTTCTGAGTCTCTTTGGTTTGGGTGTTAGGTACTGACTTCCTATCTGCTAGGTAAGTGCTCTACCACTGAGCCATATTCCCAGACCACAGTAGGTTTTATTTAGATGAAGAAAAAAATCTACACAGGTACAAACATTTAAGGAGCAAGCTATTGAATGAATCTTTATCGAAAACAAGACAACATGAGAAGAAATGGTCGATTTAGTGATGTTGTTTATAGTGCACGCAGTACTCAAAATGCAGGCCTCTGTGCAGAATACAGGAATTTCGTTCAGGCTGTAAACACTCTTAGTCCACGTGGCCTGGCCCTGATAATGTCATCACTCCACAGAAGCATCCTAGAGACCACGGTACCCCTTGATCCTTCTCACTCATAAAATTCTGTTTGCTTTGTTCCCATTTGTCAAAACCTACTCAGGGCCGAGACCTCTGGGCTTTACCTCCTGGGGCAGAGTCGCATGCCTAGAAAGTCCTGCTTCACTGCTCCAGCCTGGCCACAAACCACCTACAAGTCCTTTTTGACTCAGCAGACTCCAGCATGACTAACCACTGGCAGAAACAATGTTGGGGAAGGGGAAAGCGTCCTGGACCCAGCTGAAGGATAGTAAGCTGCTCTCCAAGCCCCACATGGTATTAGTAGCTGAATAAGGCTTTGCAGATCTCACTGGAGGAGCCAAGCCGCAGAGACAGGGGTACCATGGACAGAGAAGGCGAGGGTGCCCAGGTTTCCTGGAGATTTGAGATGGTCCTCCACACCCCACTCAACTTTCATTTTCTGTGATTTCAAAATAGTCTGTGGTTCACCACATTAATTTTCAGGTATTAGTAGGGCATGCAATGAAGACCTACTGTGACCAATCTCAGGCATCCGACAGACAACAAAGAGCATTCTTGACCTTTATTCCCGTCTGCCCACCCGTCCATCCATTTATCCATCCATCTACTCAAGGCATGCTGGGCAGAAGACAATCACAGCTCAGGTTCTAACAATCCTCTGAAGAGAGTGAGTGAAGGGGACAGAAGGCATACCTCGGCACCCGCTGGTGGGGACAGTCCAGCTCGCAGAGGAGACAGAATACACAGAGGCACAGATGCCATCTCAGGGCAATGTAGGGTCAAGGAAGGTCTGTTGCTAGGCTAGAGACATCTGGCAAGGGGTCATCAGCGCTGGCTTTGGAGGGCACTGCCACTGGGCACTGCACAATGGCATGAGGACAAGGGGTTGGAGAAGGGCAGGAAAGGACCATGTAAGGAATCCAGCCATAAAGGTTCTCTGTGAGGAGTCAGCAAGCAGAGGAAGGTCCAGTGTGGGGGGAGAGAATGGCGCCAAGACCACTGTCTCTGGGGTTCCTTTTAGGAGAGGCTGATAAGAAGTGCTAGAAGGCTCACAACTCCCAGGGAAAGGGTCTCTCACAGCAAACATTATGCCATATGGCTGTGACCCACAGCTTCACCCCACACAAGCTGTTCATGCACGCTTTACACGCTCAGTACACTCTTGCCACTGCCGATTCAATTCAAGGTAACCCAGCCCGGGAAGAAGGGGCTGTTTCTCCAGAACCTGGGGAGTACCAGGCAGGGACTATGTGCCAGTGCCAGGCCCGAACCCTATGCCCAGCATGAAGCAAGCTGTGCACAGACCTCCCAGTCTTCAGAATCTACATCCAGGCTTGGCTCCCACCTTCCCTTGTGGCTCAGAAGTACAGCTCTGTGGGAAGCAAGTTATCAGCATACCATTCTAAAATGGAGGGCATGCTCCGCTCGGGGCCCGCCTGTGGTTTGGGCTGCTGGGGAGAGGGCTGATACACTGAGTGGGTGAACAGATGGTCCGGGCCATGCCCTCAGTGACTCCAGGGAGGTGTATCAAGTGGTCTATTCTTGCATCTGTCAGGGGCCTGTTTTACAGTGTCTGTGCTGATGGGTTATGCAAAGGAATGTGGGCTATGCTTCTCAAATGTGTAAGCAGCACTGAGTGAAGGGCATCTCTAATACTGATATGCAAGAATCTGAGCGGCAGTAACCTGAGCATGTGGAAACAGCAACACATTTAGTGGGAACAGATTAGTTGGCCTCCTCATCTGTCAGGTTAGGAGACTCAGTAAGTCACTTTAAGAGCTGGGGGCGGGGGTGGACAGAAATTATAGATGGGGGTTTGGAAAGCGCAGGGCTGGGTGAGCAGGGTCTTCCTGTGCTCTGTGCTTACTAGTCACCTCCAGCTGACCACCTTCTCCACAGCTTGCTCTCCTCATCCATAAAATGGCGATCATACTTCCTTCGCAGTGATAGCATGAGCGATAAGTAAGGGGACAGAGGAACACTGGCCCATGACAGTCACTGGGGAACTGTTCACTTCCTCCGGCCTCCATACAGTCTGACCATGTTTCACAGGCCAGCATCCCCAGCACCCCACCCCCACCCCTCCTGGGCCTCCAGCAAATCCCAGCAGCCATCACTCTCCGGCAGACAGATCCCAACATCTGGCTGCTGCCGTTGCTATGGTGAGCTATGCGGATGCTGGGGCTCCCCGACTTTTCCAAATTGGAAGGTGGATTATGTCATTCTACAGAGCTTAAGCCTCCTCTGAGGGGAACCCCAGGGGCCTGCAGGATCAAATCCAGCTCCTAGTTCTTGCAAAAGTCCCCTGGGCCCTTGCTTGAATGCCTGTGTCTCCTTTCCATCCCAGGGCCCCAACACAGGCAGCAGGTGCAAAAGCGGCTGCTTCCCCCGGCATTTAGGCATAGTTATTTCTTCTGTCTGAACCACCTTTCCTGAAGGCTTCCCAGTCTCATTTCCTGGGCTTGTGTCCCCTGGTCTTCCTCTTGTCCCTTACCTAGACTGAATGGGTAGATCCTGATAGACAGGGTGTCTATGCTTGTAATACCTACTACATAGGAGTTCAACCTGGGCATTATGCTGACTATGAGCTTCTTAAAGGAAGCAACCAGGGCTGTTGTTTATTTTTGGTTTTGGAGGCAGAGTCTCACTATGAATTTCAGGCTGGTCTCAAACTTGCAATCCTCCTGCTTCGGTCTCCCAATGCTAGGATTATAAGCATATACTACTGTGCTGGGCCAATCAGGACTTCTTGGGAGGTGGAGGCAGGAGGATCAGAAGTTCTAGGCTAGCCTAGAGTGCTTGAGAGCCTGTTTCAAAA